CGGTTGATGGCTGGGACCGGGAGGACGAGGTGGAAGAGCGGGGCGAGCCGAAAACTCGCCACCAACTCGAGAGGATGCACGCGGTGTTCCGCAACACCCTCCTTATGTGCGTCCTCTCGTTTCCGCAGTTCGGCCAGTTCGACATCACCCGGGAGGACCTGGAGAGCTGGTACGAGTGGTTCTATGGGGAGGACATCGGGGGCCGTTTTCCCCCGCCAGAGGACCACGTCCTGGCAATTGCCGAACGCAACGCATGGCGGAAGATTCACGAGCAGATGCACGAGGGCAGCACCCTCAAGGCGGCCATGCTGTCGGTCAGGCAGGACACATTGTTTTGGACACGTGAGGTCTATGAGAAGATCAGGACCTTTTCCAGGGGCCGCCCACAAACCAGGACATCCATGGACTACGCACCACCCCAGAAGGGCAAGAACAAGTCCAAGGGCAAGGGGAAGTCTAGGGGCAAGCCTGGGAGCAAAGGGAAAGGTAAGCCCCCCCAGCCGAACAATCAGGCGTCCAGGGGCGGTAACAAGCAGGCGGCCACCGATCCGAAAGGGAACCAGTTCTGTAACAACTGGATGCGCGGGCGCTGCCCGGGCAACTGCGGACGCACCCACAAGTGCAACCTCATCCTGGCAACGGGCCGCATCTGCCTGGGAGACCACCTCCCGCAGGACTGCCCGGGTTGACTAGGGGCGCTGACCCCGACCCCCCGGGAGGCCTCAGGTGCCGAGGGCCCTGATAAGGCCCGGGGGGGCGAGAGGGGGCGCAAACGCCCCAAGCAGGCAGGGCCCGAGGGCCCTGACACAGGGGGGGGACAGGCCAGGTGGCGGCCATCCTCGGCGGAACAAGGATGGGGACGGCAGAACCAGCGTGCCCAACACCCTCGCTGGGGTCAGAACAACCACACAGCTGGCACAACGGCGGCGCCTCAGCCCCGAGCCACGGGTGCCGAGGGCCCTGAAACGGCAGGGACGGGACGGTTCCCTGCAGGTGCCAAGGGCCCTGACACGGGGGGCCGCGCCCAGCAGGCCCGATTGCCGGATAACTGGCAGCACACCGCAACGCCAAGGAACACGCCCAGGAGGCAGCCGATCCCACTTCCGGCGCCCAACATCATCAAGCAGGACCCGGTGGTTTTTTATAAGAGCTCGGTTGGGCTGAATGAAGGGGGCCAGCGCCTTTCAGCTACCCCCCTGACAAGTCCCACGGAGCCGTCACCGGGATGGGACATCTTCCCGTGGATGGAGAACATCCCGGAGCGTTTGGTACAGCGGCTGAGATGGACACAGGGCACATCACCCAAAGTTCCATCCAGTGGGCCCATTATTGTCCTGCTCTATGCAGGCAAGGAAGACCCAACTTCCTTGGACAGCTGTCTTCATGCCAACTACCCACACCTTTCCAGCATGGTGGTGGCGGTAGACATCCTACGATCGGGACCAAAAGGGAACCACGACATGCTCCAACCCGAGCTATATGGAGCTCTGCACGGCAGCAAAGCAGGGCCGAGTGGTCTTCATTGGAGGAGGACCCAACTGCAGGACATGGTCCATCCTGCGCCACATACCAAAACCGGGGGCCCCCACCCCGGTGCGAGGGCGCACTCGAGAGACACTTTGGGGCCTCCCACACCTGGACCAGGCCGCCCAGACTGTCAGCTTGATGATGACAGTATCCTCATTTTGAGGCAGATGTACATCACCAGCCTGGCAAGGGCCTCAAGAGCGGCGGTTTCTCTGCCAGGGCCAAAGTCCTTCTTGAGGACCCAGTGGTGAGCAGCTCGCTGCCCAAAGCCAAGGAATGCTCATCCTTCTGGATCACGGAGGAGGGGCAGCTTTGGATGGAGGCAAACTCCTTGACAGCAATCCTTCGACCAGTGCCGCCTGGGCCAGCTGGTCAAGAAGGCCACTACGCTAGCCACGGATCTCCCAATTCAGGATTGGGATCAAATGCGGTGCACGCATCAGTCACATGTGGGCACCAACGAGTCCTCGACTCTTAGCAGATACCCTTGGGATATGATGGCAGGCCTGGCCAAAGCCATCGCTGTGTCACTCGCAGCGCCGGGGCACATCCGGATCCCCTCACAATTTTCGGGAAACCCTAAGGAACCACCTAAGGGGCGGGGGTCGGACCCCCCGGAGGGCCCTTCCCCCCGGGGAAAACGGGGACCCAATCAGGGAGGCGGTCCCTCCTCATCACACCAGGGCCCAAAGCCCGGAGGCAAGAATGCCCCGAAGCCCCGCCAGCACGGGCACATCCACCTTGAGGCAGACACCGTAAGCCCTCGTGGAACAATGAACCCAGACTTCCCATCTCCCATGCCCCCGATGGCCGGAGATGCGGAACAACTGGGGAAGGAAGAACATGGGGACCAGGTCCTGGACCGCCCCGAATGCCTGCCCGCTTTCAGGGTCCCACGCCTCATTGACCGAGTTGCGATTGTCCAATTGGGTTTCCGCTCACGCCCCCTGAGGGATGGGGGGGGGAAACCTTCCCCGGGGAGGCTCAACCCCCCCTTTCGGAGAATTTCCCCTTTGGCTACTTTGGGCGCCCTGATCATGACCCTTACCCGGCCCTGGATTGACAAGGTCCGAATGTCCCTGGCATCAGGTGCCACCACACACCCCTTCCAGGAAGCCGACCTCGATGAGCTGCGGGCTATCCTGGGACCTAGGCACCTCCATGAACGATGCCCAGGGCAACCCTTCCTCCTGGACCTAGTTTCGCACTTGGCATCCCTTTCAGGTGACCCTGATTGGGAGTTCCCCCTGACACTGAAAGAGGGGGTCCCCTTGGGAGTCTCGGACCCTACCTTGACCTCCCCCGGAGTTTGGCCGACTAAGGAGGAGCTTAAGGGAGAAGCCTGGCTGGGGGAAGACCCCCCCCCGCCGGTGGCCCATGATAACTACCCAACGGCTGAACTCTTTGCCAGTGAAATCGAGGCAACCTTTTACGAGGAACGAGCCTTGGACATGGTGGACGGGCCCTTCACCCGGTCGGAGGCGGCAGAGAGGTGCCGCTGCAAACCGGAGGAACTTTGCCCGGGCCCCCTTGCGGGGATTGATGAGTCAGACAAGATCAGGACGATCTACGATGGCTCAAAAGGGGGAGCAAACGCACACATCCAGGCTCATACGGGGGAGAAGACCACTGCACCGATGGTTGGAGACTGCCTCCACGCCATCCACTGGCTCAGGACAGCGACGGACCATCCCCATCTACTTCGAGCCACGCTCTCGAGCACTGAGGAGAGACCTCGGGATGTTCACCAGCCGGTGCAGGGGCAGTCCCCAGGTGCCGAGGGCCCTGAGAGGGACCCCCACAGCACCAGCCTGCCCCCCAGGGCCTGATCGGGGCAGGGGGATGATGGATACCTCCGGCGGCCCTCTCTGGGGTCGACACCCTCAGAAGGGACCACTCCCAGGTGCCGAGGGCCCTGACAGGAGGGCCCCCTTCCCCCCAACCCCCCGGGCACGGAACGCCCTGAGAGGATCAGGGGCCCCTGATGTGGCAGCCGCCGACACAGGGGGAAACCTTCATCATCCTCAAGGCGGATGTCACCAAGGCCCACAGGCGTATAAAAGTGCTCCCGAAAGACTGGAAATACCAGGTGGCCTGCATCCAAAACCGGTGGTGGGTCAACAGAGTGGGCACGTACGGCATGGCCTCGGCACAACTGTACTGGGGAAGAAAGGCATCCTTGGTGCTCAGACTCTTGTACTACATCTTCCCTCAGGTGGACTGGCACTTAGTCTTTGTGGACGACTACTGCTGGGTCCTCAGATGCAGCCGGGCGGACTGGGACGCCACAGCCATCCTGGCTACACTGCTGGCGCTGGGAGTCCCGCTTTCCTGGAAAAAGACGGCGCTCTCCCCGATCAATACCTGGTTGGGCTTTGTGGTGGACCCAATCACGCCCTGTGTACTGCTGGCTCCAGTCAAACACGTCATAATCCTGGCCACTCTTAAACGGCTGGCCCAGGGGGACATCTTCACCAGCAAGGAGGTGGTACTTCGGCATGCCCATTGACGAAACCTTTCCTCCAGCCCTTTTGGAGCTGGAAGAAGGCCTGCACCACTTCGGGCAGGCCACCGAAGCTGGTTCGTGCTCTGGCCATCCTTTTGGGGAGACTCTTCAACCAGAGGTTCCCACTGGCATCTCCGTTTGCTCCCACACTCCCATGGACGGGGGCATCTGATGCGGGAGCTGGCAGACAGGCAGACCATGCATGGGTTGGTGGTTGGTGCTCGGACGTGCCCAACCCCGACAAGTCCCGTGTGAAGTGGTTCCAGCACAGAATCACACCGGAGGGCGAGCCGTGGGCCTTCACTACTGGGGACCCGCAGCGGGCGATAGCGGCCTTGGAGCTCTTCGGCCTCCTCCTTTTGGTGAGGGCCGTTCTGCTTTGTGCAGCCGGCTCGGCTTCTCACACTAGGATCCTGGTTGCTAGTGATAACCAGGGAAATGTTTTCTCCCTTCTTAACGATTCCACTCGCAGGATGCCCAATGCGGCCATCCTCATGGAAATTGTGTTAACACTGCATGACCACCAGGTCATGTTGGGGCCGTCGCATGTGAAGCGCGACTTTAACACGTGGGCGGATGAACTTACTCATCCGGACCCGCAATTTCCGACTGAGAACCGGGTCTTCCCCTCAGTCGAAAGCGAATTGATCAAGCTGATCTTCGCTACTTTCCTTCCTCACCCATGATGCCGGGAGGGCATCCGGTGAGGTGGGAGGATTCCTCCCTCGCTGTGGGAGTGGCATCAATCCTACTCCCATCAGCTGCTGAGGGGAGCTGCCCAGTGGAGCTGGGCAATCCTCCCATTTTGGCACTAACCCTTATGCGGCAAAAAGGAGGCACCGTTTTGCGAATAAGGCCTCAGTAGCACCAGAGTGGTGCTTTGAAGAGTCTGAGTAAACTTTCTACATTTGTCACATGCTACACCTGGACAGAGACAAGAAGCACGGAGCCTTTGAAGCCTTGCCAGGTAAGGCGCCTAAGACTGCTCGCCGCAAGGCGCGCGCTGGCGGGTGCGAGCGAAGACCTGGCAGATAGGAGGGGTGCAACATGTCCCAAGAAACTGTTTGGATCCTCTCAAGTGAGCCGGCCCATAGGTTTTGGGTTTGGTAATCAACTCGTTTCCCCGGGCACGCAAATTGGGGTGCCGGCATGGAACCCTTGAATCTGCTCATGTGTGTGTGCTTTTCTTCTGCACCCCAACATGGTGGTTTTCGTTTTGGTTTAAATCCACAAAAAACAGGCGCCTTAAACAACAGGAACACGCGTACACACCTGATGGTTTATCCAGAGGATTGTTTTTCGAGCAATCCTTCTTTGGTGTTTGTTTCGGGCCTGCAGCAAGCACTTGTTGCCCGTGCCTGGACAAAAAAAAACACCAAAGCAATGCGTGTGTGTCAGGAGAGAACAGCATCTAGGTCCGCCAGTAGTGCCCTGTTGCCCCTTTTTTGGGTGAGGGGTTCCCCTACTAACACAGACTACAGAAAAAAGGGTACCCTTAGTTCGTTTGTTGGGTTTTCCTTTCAGCCAACCTGAGAACAGTGGCCTGCAGAGAAGAAGCCGCCCGCAGTTGCCAAAATATGGCTGTGGTGGTCAAAACCGTTATGGGATCCCATTTGGGTTGGTAGGTGCACCACCCATTTTAGAACCTATTTTAGTGGTTGGATTGGGATGTTCACTGGGGGTACGATTTGGATTTTACCCGTGGCCATACGTTGCATGCGCTGCGTCCTTGGATTGGTTCTTGTGATGGAGCTCTGGGCCTGCGAACGATTCCAGGCTTCGGTTTCTGTGAAGAGTACCCTCCCACTTGCTGACATGGAAACCACCGGAAGGTCCCTGCCACAAAAAGGGTTTTCAGAACCCCCTGGCTGGGTTCCTTGTTAGGTGCGCAGGAGGGAATTTTGCGTAACTTGGCAAAGTCTGCAGGCCGGCACTACCGAGGATTTAGCCCGGCGGCTCAGTACGGCAATTTCGAGAGCCGATTTCCAGAGATACCGAATACAACTATCTCAGTTCAGATGGCTGTTTTGTGATCCTTGCAGTAATTCACCTTGCTTCGCAGTGTTTTTGTTTTTTCTCTTTTCTCGGGCCTAGGTTGTTTCAATTTGAGTGGGCGGCTGCAAAGAACCAAGCTTGTTGCAGGGTTGGGAATCTACAAATCTTCTGACCCCACACCAGTTCGTTCCTCAAGCATTTGTTCATTCCGAGTTCAGACACGCACGCTCCGCTTTTCAAGTGTTTGGTTTTACGTGTGTATGATGCATGTGTTGCCGTGAAGTCAAGGCTGACCTGTTCTTCTGTTCTTGGCAAGTTTTTGGTCTTTTGTTTGGTTCTGTTCCTTTTTGGTAGGGGACTGCAAAAACCCATACAAAGGGTTGTGAAGTATTCTTTTCAGATCCTTTGGGCAAGTGGGGCGGTTCTTGTTCTTGCCACTGCCAACATTGTTGACATTGCGCCACTAGGCTTTAACCAATTACAGAGGCATATTAGGGTCTGACTTTTTACTGGTTTCAAGCATGGTTTCAAAGTGGTGCGAAATGGATTTCGGCCATCCACATTACGGGTGTGTCTTTTTAATAGGGAACCCCTTTTCGGATGGCTTCATACCCACATACACCGCGCATTCACGAAACGCATTGAATACCTCAAAAGGGAGACTGAGAAATGCCCATGAGGCATGCTGTGTGCGCTCAGAGTTTCTGGTTGAACATAGTGTAAATTTTACCTTCAAGGAGGTGGATGGCCTAATTCTGGCATTGGTTGCGAGTCTTGTTGGGTGCTGCTCGCATAGACTAGGATGAGGAGGAAGAAGACGACGACGAGGACGAGGAGGCTTGCTTCTAACCATGTGTTTCCAGATTGGGCGCGAGTGAGGCGGTTATTCTGATCGGCCTATTGTGGAAGGCTCAATCCGGGTCTTTCAAATTCGCTCGCAACCTTTCAACTCACCTTTGCTTCCCGGTGACAGACAACTCGCTGAAGTTCGGGAAACGGATGGATGCTGATCCAAAGGTCCTTGTTGGCAGTTCTGCAATGGATGTCCATTGGTGTTTGGTGTCCGCGGAAGTTTTGCGATTCGGTTTAAAGAGATGTGTGCCTTCTTTGTGAAAGTGTTTACAAGGGGACCTTTGTCAGGGATACCCTCTGAGCCCCTTTGCCGACACATGCGTTCCATGGTCGAAGTGGGGTCCTTGAATCTGCTTCGGATCGAGATATGCACGATTGGGTGAGGCTCAATTTGTTTTGGAGCCAGGGGACCAAAGGCTTTAGTCAATTCCATTTACCAGGGTTCCAGTTTGGGCCGATTCCTATTTGGCTGCGGGTCAAACCAATGGTACCATTTTGGGGTAGGTGCACCACCCATTTTAGAACCTATTTTAGTGGGGATTGGGATGTTCACTGGGGGTACGGGATTTTGACCCATGGCCATTTGTGACCCAAGCCCTGCTGCCATCTCTTTCGGTGTT